GAGGTTACCTTTGGGCCTAAATGAGAACTTACCGGATCACGTTCTTTAAACGGCTGATATTTGATTTGGCCCATATATTCGGCCTATTTAAACTTGAACCAATTTACGCTATCAAAAGATTTCTTCAAAAAATCAAAGCTACAAAAGCCGACATTTTAAAATCAGCAGCCATTTACTTATAGTCGAGATTACCCCTTCGTCGGAGCCGATCTCTACGACTCTACTGTCTTCGTTCGACGCTAGTCTCCCTCCCCCGATACTGGAAGCACCGGACGTAGTGAATGGATGCAATTAGAAAGCAAGCCACGCGACTCAGGGAACAGGTCGCTCGGCAACAGCAAGTACGATCTCCACTCTCGCTTCGTATATGCATACATACATAATTGTATTATTTTTGCATTGATTGATGTGAAGTTGATGTTTGATTTGGCTCCTCTAATTAGATCATTCATCACCTTCAAATTGTGCGGTAATCCGTGCATCTATTTGTGTATTTATTTATTTATTTTGATTTAATTTCTATTCATTTTGTTTTCTGTTTACTACTTGTTAGGTTCATTAAATGCTCCGATTAGCTTTGATTTTCATGAATCTATCTTTTCACTCAGCATATATGTATCTGTATGGCTGCTTCTATGTTGTGTTTTCAGTTTTCTACTTTTTAGGTTCAGTAAATGCTTTGATTTCGATGAATCTAACTTTTCATACAGCATATATGTATCTGTATGACCATTTCTATATTGTGTTTTCAGTTTTCTATTTTATAGGATCAGTAAATGCTTTGATTAGCTTTGATATTGATGAATATAGTTTTCACATTGCATATATGTATCTGTATGGTTGCTTCTGTTTGGTGATCTGAATAAGTTCTGTGGTTTGTAGCTGCTTTATAAGTGCTTGCTTGTTGGAGTATTTCTACTCTAGGAAACTAAATGCTCATAAAACTTTTGAAGTAAATTAGTTTTAAAACCTCCAGTTAGTAAAAAGCATAAAATGGAGGGGGTTTCTAATAGGTTTGGATAATCAATGATGCATTATTGACATTTCTAAATAATATAAATATTTCCTTGCATTTAAAGAATTTCAAACTATATATATATATATATATATATATATATATATATATATACAGATGTGTATTTTATTGTTGCATTGATCTTCTCAAATTAAAAAGAGTTTCAATATCAACTATCCTAACAATTTTTTCTTTCATAAAAACGAACTTTCAATGTGCATTCAACTAAAATACATTGAAGCTTTTTCAACAAGTTTCTAAGTTAAACATTTATTTTAAAAAGTTTCAGCTCAGCCAAATATGCTCTACTGTTAAGAATAGGTATCAGAACATGTATTTTTCCATTGTAATTCATTGGCTTTTATGCTTATAATATAGCCTTCAATTTGTATATTCAGCTTTTAGACATGATATGTAGTTTGATTTTAGTCAGTCTGCTATACAAAATTTGTTTATATTTATCAACAAATCTATACACTTCTTCTGACATTGCTGTTATTTGATATATTTGTTGTCATGCATTGCTTTTTACTTTTGAATGCAGGCTGTTTTCAAACAGTTTGGTGGGGGCTTTGGAGGTTCAGATTATGTTGGAACAGATGAATCTGAACTCCACCAGCATCAGAAATTGGAAAAACTTTACATATCCACTCGTGCTGCCAAGGTTTGTTGTCTTTTGTAGTTCAGGTTCATACCTGTTTATTGCACTGGAATTATTTATTTATTTTTTTAATTTTTTGAACTTGTCACCTTTTGTATACCTTTTATAATTATCAGTTAGAGATAGCTTCCTATTTTTGAATATTTAAATTTAGTGTTACCTATTTTTAAAGTTTTCTGCAGCTTTCCAGCTTTGATATTTATATTCCATTAAATCTAATGCAATATTGTTTCTTGCCTAATTGAAATGCTTGTTTTTTGTATGAATTTCAGCATTTTCAAAGGGATATTGTCCGTGGTGTTGAGAATTACATTGTTACAGGGTCCAAACAAGTTGAGATAGGTAATTTTGATGTTATATTATCGGTTTATTATTGTTCAAAGAGAAGTTTTATGATTTTAATGATGATTTGCAATCTATATTCAGGATCTAAACTTTCAGAAGAAAGCAGGAAGTATGGATCTGAAAATACATGTACAAGTGGTGCTACATTATCAAAAGCTGCATTATGTTTTTCAAGAGCTCTTGTCCAAATGGAGAAGGAGCGTGGAAATCTATTGAAAGCCCTGGGCACACAGGTTAATTATTATATGAATAACTAAATTCTTAATCAATCCTATAAAAGCTTAGAAGGCTCCATTGTCAAGGCTAATCTCCCTAAAGTCTTTCTTCTTCTTGTTCTTCTTCTTATAATAAAATGAAATGGTGATTTTTATCAGAATCATGGCATCTTCTTCTTCTAATAAAATGAAACGGCTCTTCTTCTTCTTCTTCTTCTTCTAATAAAATGAAACGGTGATTTTTATCAGAATCATGGCATCTTCTTCTTCTAATAAAATGAAACAGTGATTTTTATCAGAATCATGGCATCTTAAGGGTGGACTGTGGAATCATGTGTCCTCTAGGTTTACCCTCCAAATTTCATTATCTTTAAAAAATAATAATAATAATGAAACGGTGATTTTTATCAGAATCATGGCATCTTAAGGGTGGACTGTGGAGTCATATGTCCTCTAGGTTTACCCTTCAAATTTCATTATCTTTTTCTTTCAGTGTTTTTAGTTATCTTCTTCTTCTAAAATGAAACGGTGACTTTTACCAGAATCATGGCATCTTAAGGGTGGACTGTGGAGTCATGTGTGTCATCTATGTTTACCCTCCAAATTTCATTTTCTTCTTCTTTTTTTTTTTTTAAAAAAAAAAATTAAATGAAACGGTGATTTTTATCAGAATCATTGCATCTTAAGGGTGGACTGTGGAGTCATGTGTCCTCTAGGTTTACCCTCCAAATTTCATTATCTTTTTCTTTCATTGTTTTTAGTTACCCTCCAATTAGTTTATGAAGGCCCAGGTGATCTCCCTTTCAACTGGAAGCCAATATTTTACTATCCACTAAAAGTAGTGTACAAAAGTCCAGTTTGTTATATGAACCTGGCTTATAATATCGTTTATTCTTTTTCTGTTTTCAATGTTTGACAATGCTTTACTTTGGACCACAATGCCATATATCCTGTAATTGGTAGTGTGTAATGCTTGCTTTTGTGCTGTGTATTATCTTAGCCAAGACCATTTTGATTAAGGAAGGCCCCCCTCTTCCCATCTTAATGCCATTCTGTTAATCTGTTATACATACCTCTTTCTTTTTGGTATCAACAAAAGCTTGAAGGTTGTTAGATTTATTATATATCAGGTTGCTGAACCATTAAGAGCTATGGTAATGGGTGCTCCACTTGAAGATGCTCGGCATCTAGCACAACGATATGATAGAATGCGGCAAGAGACAGAAGCACAGGTGTGTTAACTGAAAATCTTACAATGTCTTTTTCTGATCTTATTATTTTATGTGTCCTGTATCCCTTTTTAACAAATATTCTACTGAGAAGCCTGTCTGAAATGCTGTTGGGGCACACAATGGAAAGAGATGCCTACTGAATGCATGTAAATGGGCATAAGTTGAAAAGTATAATTCAAAAGGGAACATAACTTATAATAAAATAAATTTAAAAAAAAAAAAAAAAAAAAAAAGAAGAGAACATAGTTTTACACATCAAACACTTGACTCTATCGAATAAATGGTGTTACTGCTAAAATTGTTGTGTAATTTCTTAGTGTATTTGTTGTGCCCGCATAATTGCTCATTTGTTTAAGCTCATCATATCTAAGAAGCTTTGCCTCTATTCTTCCTAGTTAACTAATTCTCTTAATAGTGTCTTCTTGGGGCATTTTCAAGGTGCTCCTTTTGCTTAATTCATTGTTCAGTAGGATGCACATAAACTGAGTTGTGTTCACCATCTATAGGTGATTACAAGATTTTAATTCTATGTGCTATCTATCCTAGATAGGCTGTTGAAGTATCCAGACGACAAGCAAAACTGAGGGAGGGAAATGGCAATCCTGACATGGCTATGAAACTGGAAGCTGCTGAAGCAAAATTACAAGATCTGAAGTCAAATACTGCTATATTGGGAAAGGAAGCTTCTTCAGCAATGGCAGCTGTAGAAGCACAGCAGCAGAGATTGACATTACAGCGTTTAATTGCCATGGTAGCTTGTTCTGCTGTATACTTTAAGTAGTAAAAATTGTCAAAATGTATTATAATTTATAATTACTTTAAGATTGTGACTTTTGTTTCTATTTATCATTAGGTTGAATCTGAACGAGCTTACCATAAAAAAGTGCTTCAGATACTTGATCAACTAGAAGCCGAGGTATGATGGCATTGTTTTCTTACCACTGTTCAGTGTTTGAAAGTTCATCATGAAGTTAATGCTGTTATCTGTCTTATGTCAGATGACGTCAGAGCGCCAAAGGATTGAAGCTCCTGCTCCTAGTATCGAGAGTATGCCTCCGCCTCCATCATATGAAGAAGTAAATGGTGTATCAACTTCTCCAATGCAAAATGGCTCAACTGATAGCATGGGTTATTTTCTTGCAGAAGTAAGTATATGTTATGCTTCTTTTCCTCCCAATTGCAAACCAGAAAAATGTGCCAGACATCACTATGAGTTTGTAATCTCTCCTTTTGCTCTGATATAGGCAATGTTTTCATATCATGCTGAATCTGATGTGGAGCTTAATTTGTCAGCTGGAGATTATATCGTTGTTCGAAAGGTTTGTTAGTCTCCCAAACGTTATATGCTATCTTATGACTCTGGTTTACAGTCTAGCTATGTTCTGGTGAAATAGAAGGATTTGAGTGTGATGAAGTATTTATTTGAAGTACATCAAAATCTTTTTATTCCTGTTAGTTACCTGTAATGTTCTGTTCTATTGCTGTATAATACATCACACTATAGAAGGTCTAAAACAGCATTACCTGGTACGTGCACAAGTATTAGGTATTTTTTCAGAAATCTACATATGATATAGGAAATTGATTGACATTGGCATGATTCTAATACATTAATCGTTGTCATTTGACGACACCCATATAGTCAACTTGGCATGCTTTCTTTGTGCTAGATCTCAAGCTTGAGTCCGTCCGCATACATTAATGGTTGTCATTTGCCTTTGCTCAGATATCATTACTACCGCAACATTTTTAGATTGTAGACCTCTTCCATTTTTAAGTGCTTGGATTCTTCTGCGTACACAAAGGAAATAAAATTTACATTAATGCTTAATTACCTTCTCAGGTTTCAAATAATGGCTGGGCTGAAGGTGAATGCAAAGGCAAAGCTGGATGGTTCCCTTATGGTTACATTGAGAGAAGGGAACGTGTACTTGCTAGTAAGGTTGTGGTTGAAGTTTTCTAAATCACTGTGTTCATTTATGTTGTGCTATAATGTTTGTGCAGTATAACCAGTATTACAACATTTTCTCCAATTTCATATAAGATCGGTTTACTATTATGTGTGTTTGGAACCTTTGTTTTTATTCTTGTATATGATTCTTGCACTTTCCTATGGTTTATAGATTTGTTGTTCGACTGTTGCAAATGTATTTGTTTGATTCATAGTTTTCTAAGTCACTGTGTTCATTTATGTTGTGCTATAATGTTTATGCAGTATAACCAGTATTACTATTATTTGTGTTTCAAAACCCGCCCTGCATTTGGCCGGTGGGACGGGGCAAGCTAAAAAAGCCTGCTCTTTGGCGGGCTTAGGTTTTGCTAGCGCGTCGCTCCCCCGGCATACAGTCTAGGGGGTCACGTCACTTTTTTTTTTACTTGTTTTTACGTTGTATGTTACTTTGTTAAGTTTTACTATTTATAAATTATAAGAATAATTAAAATCACATAAGTACTCATTTAAATTTTAAAACATAAGTTTCACTATTTGTAAACTATAAAAATAATTAAAATTATATAAGTACTAATTTAAATAATAACATATTAAACAATACTCAGTAATTTTGAAGTCTATTGTTTAAAATTATAAAACATTAAACAATAATTTTAAAGATCATCAAACATTTTATATATATAATATATATATATATATATATATATATATATATATATATATATATATATATATATATATAATTTAAAAAATAAATGGGCATTTTGGTGGGTTTAACAGGCTGTGTTTAAAAAAAAGTCGCTCTTTGGCAGGCCTCTATTTTTGAAACTCATTTCTTACTTATTTTTATGGCTTAAGTATAAACTGCCGATCCATCTTAGGATATGACGTGTGTGTATACTTACACATACAGGTGTGTGTGTATGTACGTATACACACACATATATAGAGAGAAAGAGAAATTATATGTCACCATAGTAGGGGTGACCCCGGTTCCGGTTCCATATATGGACAAACCGAAACTGAAACTTTATAGTAAGGTTCCGATTCCGGTTCTAACCGGATTTATTTTAAAAAGAATAATTAAAAAAAAAACACTATAATCTTTAATTTTTTCCGATTTGGAACCGAAATCGCCGGTTCCGATTCCTTTTCATCTCAAACCTTAACCGGAACCATATTGGTTCCGGTTAGAAACCAGAACCATATTGGTTTCGGTTAGAAACCAGAACCGAACAATTCGGTTCCGATTGCGATTCAACAGTGCACGGTTTGGTTCGAATCGAACCGTGGTCACCCCTACACCATAGGTTAATATTCTAATAGCCACGTTCTTAAATACAAGGGAATAGCGCATGCAACAAGTATGTTAAACAAATCCAACAAAATTAGACAATTTTGTTTATGAGATACATGGAAGAGATATCTGAAAACTGACCAAACAGCTACCTCTTGGAAATAGCTCTAAACCTACTGATAGAAGCATCTTGCAAATCAAAGGTTTCCTCCTAATAAGCTACCTTACCCAATAATAAATGTTAAAAATATGCTAAATTAAAACTGCTTATAGATCACGAATTGCATAAGATGGATGATTGGCAGGGAAAATATAAATAGTTCAGTGTTTGTTGAGATATTTGCTGCAAATCTAGTGGGGCCAAAACATTTGAAATTTCAATATCCTGTTTATATTATTAAGATAATTTCGAATATAGCTGTCATAATGAAATACTGAGTAATATTTTATTCATACGTCATAATATAATCTCTAATAATGCTTGATATTTTTTTTAAGATTGCAATGGAAGCTATATACATGTTATAGATTAAATACTTGAAGGTACACACCTATTGAATTAAAGTCTCACAAAACAATGACAGTATTTATCATACTTTACAATTGTTTAGGAGTGAATAAGTTGCAAATGGCCCATATTATATCAAATTAATTCCTTAATTATCTGTGCATAGCATAAGCCACCTCCCAAAGAATTATGGAGGTCATGGAAACAGACAATCTCAAGATATATGTATAAATACCTCCATTGCACCCATCCTCATGGTAATATCATCAATTGCCCCTCTTAATAACTGCAGAACAGGCCAAGTATACATCACTTTCATACACAATCGGTGCTCCATATTCACAAAACAGTTATAATAAAAATAAATAAAAACAAATATAAGGTCCATGACAGAGGAAAGTCCAATCTATTTCAAATTTCTGCCAGATAAATATTTTAGTGTGCGAAGAAAATTAAAACAAAAAACTATTCAGTGTATTGCAAAAACAAAAATTGTGGGGTAAGAACTCACTTTATCAGATCCAAGGCTCCAACTCCAGAAAAGCAGTGGGGACACAATGGAACTGGTCCATTAGTACTTTGTTGTCCTTTACAGTATCACCTCATAAAGAAGTTGCAACTTGATTAAAGCAACTATATAAAAAAAGTTATTAAAAAAAAACTCAAGATAAACAGTTTTCCAATTTTATTTTTTTTCTAGGAAGAATGAAAATCTGTAGAGCTCAAGGCATCCGCTCTTGAGAAGGCAAACATTAAAAAAAATGCATGAGAAATATAGAAACACAATTCACTCCATAGTCAATATAGAGGTGGAATATTAAGGTGACAATAATGTGAGCCACTATGAAATATTTGGAACTTATATTAAATCAATAATAGAACCATCATTATATTGTCTACAGAGTAAGAAATCAAAAGAGGAAACAATAGTACTATTGCTGTGTGGATTCTCCACTAATATGTGTTGGAATTGCAACAGTCAGTTTAGTGGCTTCTAATCAATTTAAGTAATCCTCACAGTGCCAAACTACTATACACCCACCTGTCACCCTCATTAATGAGTATTTGAATTTGTTCCACCAAATTATTTTTCCTTCAGCCCCCTATCCGTCCCTCAACTTCTCTTTTACCTTGGTCTGGTCAGGAGCACACGAGAAGGGCAAGTTTGTCTAAAGGGAATGAAATGTCATCAAACACGGATAAATATGAAAAGACTGAGATCAGAATCTTATATTATTTCTAGGAAACAAAATGACTAGTGGTTTATCTATTGAACCATTGAACAGTAGGAGATCTGCAGTTCTGTGCATTCTGGGGACCTTACTTGCTTATTATCTAATCAATCAGCGGTGAAAATTATAAGGCATATGGATAAATGACATAACAGCAGTAAAAACAGTGTTAAGTGCTCGAAAAAACAAACAAATGCACATTGCAATATTGAAGGAAATTATATCAGATTCACCGGTGGATTGTAACTTAACAATGAACCACGTACTCCAAAAACCAAATAGAAATAAAATGCCAAAAACAAAATGAAAATGCACATAACATGTCACTGTACAAGCAAAAAGCATGTCAACGCATATTTCTGCTTTCGAGACCTAGCTATAGGCAAAATTGTGTGCGGCGCCGGTTAGAGGGAGACTTCATTTTGAACTCTCTGAGCTAATATTTTTCAATTACTCATAAGCAACAAGGTAAATTAATACAGGTGCAATTTCACAAAACAGAGAATAAAAGCAAAGAGGTTAAGAATGACCGTACAAAAAATCAGAATCACTCCGTATCGTCAAATAACAATAATTGCACGGAAATTCCTGCAAATAAATAATCATTTACATCATTGAAACATGAAACGGAAAAAATTTGGTAATAGTAATCACTAATCAGAGAAATGTAGCTTACTGCATCGAGAAGCTCGATATGGAGCTGTTGAATGCGAGAGCAAAGCAGCGGGGCCTTTTGGAGGATGATGTAGCAAAATCCACAATACTGGTGTCCGCTGCGGAGAAATCTGCTTCTCCGCCCTGCTCGCCGCCATCTTCACCGTTATCGATCATCGGATACTCATCGTCCGGATGCTTCCGTCCTCCTTTAGCATTCTCTTACTTTATCTCTGATCCAGATCTGATGATTTTCCTTCCGAGCACGAAGAATGAATTGCTCGTCGTAGATTTTTAAATAGCGCGCGAATTCGCGTTTTTTCTCATGTTGAATTTAATATTGATTTCCAATATCATTACTGAATATTTATAGACGATTTTTATTATAAAAACTAACCGGAATTACTCGACGGGTTTTTTTGGCGGGTGGGTGCGGGGGTGTGAGCGGAGGCGTGCTTTTACAATGTGTTATGCTTTTCATTATAAAATTATCTCTACATGGTCTGTATAAAATAAGTTCACAATTTTTGACAATCAAATTCACACAAATACTTATCATCTGTATAAAATTAGAAAGTCACCTAATTCATGAAAATTTTCAATTAATCATCTCTAGTCATTTTGATCTTTGGTTGTACACTTTTGTAAATATAACTATTTATATATCATGTTTTTAGAATTTTAGTTATTAATTTTGAGTTTTTAGTCACTTATCCTAACATTTTAAATCCACCTCTGTGCCTTACCTGAGCGATTGAGTGCCCATTTGGGTTTTCTCCTTTGTTTCAATGAAAAAAACAAGAGACAAGTCTATTGAGTGTCAATTTGGGCATTCTCATTTGAATGGGAAAGGAAGAGACAAGTGGAAACGTAAGGGTAATTGATTCAACTTCTATAATATATTAATCTTATTTGAACATTTCTCATTTGTAGTTATATATTAAATAAGTCTTTATCTTTTATAAATAAATAAATATAAAAGATAAAGACTTATTTAAATGTACTTTTAACCTCGTATCATACTAGATTAATTTTCATTTGCATCAAATCTACCAAATTAAAGACAAATGCTGGTCATATTGATTTTTTCATATGAGAGGAGGTTTTGAGTTCACACCTACTAAGTCGATTAATCTTTATCTTATATTAGTTGAGTTAAAAAAATTCTCTTATTTGAATTGAAGATGGCATGGCAGCATGTCAAGGAACATTTTGGGTCCGTCTCATCGTAAAATGTGAAATACTTTTTCAGTTAAAACGTAATACATTTTATGAGAGGGTGTCACTTATGCTAGCAACCATTTTCATACGGATGTAAATTCCATGTCGTTCACAAATTACAATCCAATTAAAGATGGCTGCATGGTGCGCAGTCACTCTCACAACCATTAATATTTGCTTAGGATTCGCCAAATTGGAGACAAATTTGATTGGAAGCGAAACGAAATTGATAATGTTTTGATGCATACTATACTGGGGAAAGCAAAATTAACATGAACGTAACCACTAAAACGACAATTATCCACATGGTGGTCCAATTGGCTTAAAGATTGAAATAAGATACTCCCACACAAGGCAATTACATTGAAATTTCACATGAAATTGACTCTAATACAAATTAAAACATGTGATCCATTTTAACTAAAATTCTGAACTAATAGTTGAACTGCATATTAATTTTATATATTATATGCTCAACACAAAAGAGGCTTTGTGCCACTACCCCAAGATACTTGTACGTCGGCATCACAACTTGGCAAATTGCAAACAAGCGTAAACATCACACGTTTTTTTCCTTTTATTTTTGCAGTTTTGAACACAACTTGATTGCCTAGAATTATAAGACATAGCCTTATTAATACGGAGTTAGAAGAACCTTGTTTTGACAGGCACCTTTTAGTGCTAGCAATGCGGCTCCATAGGCAGCTTCAGTTTGATCTGCGCAGCGTACCGGTATACCCAGGACCCTCGCTCGGATCTTTGTCCATATTTCATTCCTTGACCCGCCTCCAGATGTCAGTATTTCCTCAACCGGGGCTGCCCCAAGACTCTTTAGCAAACTGTACCCCTTTGCCTGTATATAATAATATCGAACGCGCCATATCAATGTTGTTCAATATGGCTCAATTTTGTGAGTAATAACATCATCTTTTAATCATTTTATTTACCTCAATACGAGCCATCGATTCAAGAATACCATACAAGTATTCCACGTCATCTTCCGGCCGCGGGTGCATCCTGCAAGACAACGATTTAAAGGAATTATCCATCAATAATTTTTTGGGAACAGAGTCAAACCGATCCTCAATCTTTGGCTACAAAGTTAATTAAGTTCTTAAAATTTTAAAAGGTGCAATTACATCCATTTATAATTTATTTTGATATAATAAATTCTAAAAATCAATTAATAACCTGCTATCACAGGTCATTAAAGTTACGACAACTCGCCGATAAAATTTCAGGCAACAAAGTGACTGACAAACCGTCGCCAATCATAGAGAAGGAGACCAAGGTTGCCTTCTCCGTAGAGAAGGCCACCACTGGATCACTTTCTCACTGCAGAAGGCAACCACAAAATTCTCCGTAATCTCACCGGCTAATTGTCGGAATCCTAATGACCTATGATGACAAGTCATTAATTGATTTTGGGACTTCATTATACCGAAATAAATTGTTAATTGGTGTAATTATACATTTAAAGAGTTTAAAAGCTAATTGCTTTTCAACTAAATTTCGAGGACATTTAACCATTTTCCCCTAGTTTTTTCTTTTTTACACTCGGTAAAAAAATAAAAAAATTTGAGAATCACTTTTTTACGTTAATACCTAGGCTCTTTTGTTGGATCTGCCAAGGGGAATCTTTCACCGGGTACTTTCAAGGGATAGTAATCAAGAGGGGAGGGCACAAGGGGATTGATCCGCTCACTCAATTTATAAAGCTCCTCGTCACTGAAGAGATGCCGTAGAACAGCTCCGCCGGTGTTGGAAGCCCCTCCGACGAGCCATTTATCACCGAGCCGGTGGCTATACACTCCAAACCGAACATCTTCCACCTTTTTAGTACTTAGTAGTTTTAAAGCTACAGTTGAACCCAAAGATGTAACCTGAACACACAAATTAATTCAACAATAATAGTAACACGTACTGACCCATGGAGGCAAAGATGTGACCTGAGAACAGAAATTAATTCAACAATAATCGTAACCACACTGCATAAGGTAATTCTGAATGTCGGTCCCACGGCATTTCCCCACCAATAGTTTTTGGCGTGATTTTTTAGGAGGTCAAACTAATATGGAGGAAAAAAAAAGTAAGTGAGATTTAATCTCAAGGAGCTCAGTTTAATTATATCTGTGGGCTCTACTAAAAAAGAAAAAAGGTCAAGCTGCTTCACATAAGTCACAAATCTCGCGCATAAATCTTTGTGTTTTTTTTTTAAATTTTGTTTTTTCAAAATTTATTTGTTTATTTTTTCCCCTTTCATTTTTTTTTTCTAGTCACAATAAAAATTCTCAAAAATTACAATTATTGGAAACGCTCTTACCGCTTTTCCAGGTTGGGAAGCACGTGTTGCTATGACTGCCGCTACGCTATCCGTAGTCCCAGTGCACACAACACAATCTTGCGGGAATCCTGAACAGTGGATATGATGCAAACTTATCAGAAAATACTAAAAAAATAAATTTGTGGGCAAAAAATACTAAAATATGAAGCTTTTGTTGTGTCGGGAATCTGTACAACTTGACACTCTGTATGGGTAAGAAAATACTAAAATATGAACCTTTTTCTTGTCGGGTATCTGTACAACTTCACACTATGTATGGCGTGAATCTATATGCAATAAAAGATTAAAAAAAAATAAGGGCGTAAATTTTTAGAAAACACCCAAGGAGGGTATTGGATCTTTACTCGGGTTTTGTAGAAAATTTTTTATTTTTTCTTTTTTTTTGTGACCTGTGACAGATAAAGAGTGCCTTACTGCCTTAGAGAACTCAGTAGCATAAGTCAAGCATCCTAATTGGCTTGTAGACCACAAGTTACAACGTTAAACGAAGGGAAAATAATGTACCATAAAGTCTTCTCATGTCCTCCTTTATAAAATCGATTGATTTTCCAGGCGCTTGAACAGCAGGCAAAACATGAGAAAATGGTTGAGAAAGCAGCCATCGCGGGTAGCATTCAGCTTCTGGATCATAGCCAAGCTGCACCATTGCATATATATATATGGAATTTATTATGATCAAACGCTTATAATAAATACTTACCTATAATGATCTAGCTTTACTCCAAGGTGTAAAGGATCAAGCGATTATCACTACGTCAAAAGCTATAATTAGTAGGAAAACGCAATTTTATTTCCCTGTAAACCACCATCACATTTTTTTGAGGAATTTGGCTATTCATTAGCCTCAGCTCAACAATGACTTGACACTTTACCGGTCTCGACCAACTAATTTGTAAAGTAGAAGTGAAGAAAAACAGGAATGTTTGTTTCACATAGTCAATGAGTTGAATACCTTCAATGCATTATTGTAGTCCGTAATTCCCAGCTTGCCATGTAGGAAATATGACACCCAGTCAGCATGATGCAACACCAGTGCAGACTTCTTGCTAAACTCGTAAGAGTTCCACCATGAAAGGAGCTTGCAAAGAGCAGAAGAATCGGCGAGGACACAGTGGTTTTCAGGAGCAATAGACTTCACCTCCGGCAAAACATCGGCATAACTCTCATTATAGAGGTATGCTTTAGATAATGGCTCCCCAGTAGTGCTGCAGAAGAAGAATTTAAACTGGGTTCACACTAGATCTATATATACCATGCCATGAATTAGAGAAAGACAGAAACTAAAACTAAAACCAAAAAAAATTAAAAAAATTAAAGTACAATTTACCTGTCTAAGATGAAGATGGTTCCAGAAGTCCCATCAACAGAAATTGAAGCAACATACGGGCGAAGACCCACAGGCACATCCCCTAGAAGTAAGAAGAGAGCTTCTTTCCAACCTCGTAGCCAATCCACTGCTTTATCTTCCTCTCTCTTTCTTGTAAAACAACACCATTTTCAGGGTTTAGACCGACCCAGACAAATTTTCAGACAAGATTCCGATATTTAAGCAAGATGAACAGTTTGAGGCACTAACGTACGTACTGATACACAATAAGCTTACCAAATACAAAGGGTAATCCCTCTTCCCTTCGGAAAGAAGATTCCCGTCGTCGTCAATCAGGGCGTAACGAGCGCCGGAAGTGCCAAAATCCATGCCCAGATAGAGCCGGCCGCCGGCCAGGGGATCAGAAACCACGGAGCCAACTTCGTTATTCTTGGAAATGACGGCAATGGGTTTTGGTTTGCCGAAAATGTGAGGGCTTGAGATTGGTTTTGCAGACGGCGGCGTCCATTTTCGGAAGGAATGCTGGAGCGGCAGCGAAGAGCAGATGGCGTTGTATACGGAGCTCGCCATTGTTTGGATGCTTATGCTGAAATTGTCTTTACACTTCGTATTTGAACTGAGTGGACTGACTGTACGCTTTCCTCTGCTTTAATAAACGTTTTGAATCCAAACACACTACAAATATTTTGTGTAGATAAAGTCTAGGTGGTGCAATATTGACAATTTCCACAGATATGGATAATATCCACATCAGATTTTATCGTTTCTTTTTAAACTGGACATACTTTTTTAAAATGACAAATGGGTTTATTTTATTGTTACTTTTTAAATTGGGCATACTTTTTTTCTAAAAAAAATAATTGGATTTACTTTTTTAATATATATAATCATGAGTAAATGCATTAGGTAAACCCTGTGAAACCAAAAAGACTAATTGATCATTCTTGTTTCGAGTCAAATTTGTATGTTGTAATCTTGTAATTATCAAATTAACTACCTGATCAACTTGGTTGAGGTTGTCCATGTAATTAGGTATACTTTTTCTAAGTGCAATTTTACCAGGGAAGTTTAGAGGGAGTTAACTGGTCAGCTATGGCAACTTAGGTTATACCTTATTTTAACACTTTGTCGGCTAGGGTCATAAGGAGAATTTTATCCAAAGTATATTTATGGGTAGCGGTTGCGAACTTTCTCTTAAATCAAAGTTTAATAATATGTTAGTTATTTTGTAAGACAAAATTACAATTTTTTGTTTATAAATTATAAGAAAATAACACTTTTTGTCTATCAATTAATTATATGATCACTATTTTTTTTAATTGTCAGCAAAGTGGCCTTTTTGTTCATTAATAATTGTTTACAAAACAACTTTAAAAAACTCAACTCTTAACCAAATTCATTGACAAACAACAAAATCATTTCACAACAATTGAACAAAAAGTGACAATAATATAACTGTTGGACATAAAAGTATTACCTTTTCTTTATATAATTTAGATACAAAAATTGTTATTTTTTCTATCAAGCAAGTAAAACAAAAAATCCCAACTAGCATTAGAGCATCTCCATTAGAGGAAAAATAGGAGAGAATTCACTACTTTTAAGGTCAAAATGTCATGGTGGCAGAGAGAGAATCAAGAGAGAGAAGGGGTGGGGAGCATCTGCAAATGTTGGGATATTACTCTGCCCAAGAAAAATAATTAATGATTAAGGATAAAGAACCAATAGAGAAATGACATGCTTATTTTATATATATATATATATATATATATATATATATATATATATATATATATATATATATATTTTATAAAATCAGTTTTGATTTTTTTTCCCTCCCCTCCCACATTATTCTCTTTCCTACTCACTCTTACATTCTCCCCCTAATATCCCCAACTGATAAGGATGTTCTTAGTTCATCTCTTCAAAGCAAGCTCAATGAGGGGTTTTAATTTGGTTGATTTGGAGGAGAGTTGGAGGAAAAAAATGTATGAGTTTTTGTGCTAAATATTTGGTGTTTACAATAAATTTATTGTTTTTTTTTAAGGAGGGAAAATGTTTTAAATTTTGTGCTAAATATTTGGTTTTCAAAAAGAAAAAAGAAAACACGCATAAACGGAGCTTAGGCGCCCCCACTAATTTTATTTTTTATTTTTTTTTTTCATTTTAAGCTTACAAATTTACCGTCATGATCTTGAGGTCTAGTAATACAAGTTGCTCGTATTGACTCTTTGTGCATCAGTAGATTGAGAAAATAGTTATAAACAGATACTGTATTGTAACAGAGTCAATAATACTTAAAAAAAATTAAAAAAAAAACTTACAAATTTACATGATAAATAATTATGAGCTCTACTACATAGACTTCTAAAATTCGACTCCCTCATTTATACTCCCTGAGGCTGCAAATCAGGATTGGTTATTTTTATCATGTGGGTCCACTAAAAAGTGTCTACATCAAAAGCATGTGAGAAGGAATACAAGTTGAGAGTTTAAAATGGAAGTACATCAAGTATTTTCCGAGAATTATTTATCAAAAAGTTGTCAAATGTTTCAAATAATTGGGATTGCTCTCAATAACACAAACCAAGACAAAGTGTATTGAATTACTACGCTCCTACTGTCTCCTACGCATGATAAGTGCAGTCAATTTTGAAACGTAATGGGTTTTGACACGCAATAATGATGTGTTTGGAACATAGAAATGGTACGACAAATAATTCTCATTTACTGTTGAAATTTTGAGGAAAAAAAAACTAACTTTTTGTAATATTAATATATTTTTAGATAATGTTGATGTTATCTAATTTATTTAATTATATATAATATTAAAAGAGTTGGAACATATCTAAATTTTTCTTATGCCAACTATAAATAGGAGCTCTCATTTATACAGAAGACATTTTAGAAAAGATTCGGGAAAGCTTAAAGCTTGTTCTTGGAAATAAAATCCTCCCCTTCCAACCATATATCTGGCATGTTGATCCATCCAAACATATAAGTTTTTCAATACCAAGCCACTTGAGTTTCAGATGCACTTTAGTGGAGTGTATCCAGAGATATGTACCCGCACCGCATTAATATTCTTTATAATCAGAATTTTGAATTTTAATATATATAGTGTTTACAACTGTGATTATTCAGTTAAATATGTATATGAGTTTTGCTCCCATTTTGAAAAAAAAAAAAAAAAAACACTATTGTAGTATTATTATTCCCGGCCCTTTTCTCTCTTTTCTCCTCTACAACATATGAAAAAATTTGGACCAAAAAAAAAAAACTCACCACTATAGAAGCTTGATATTGTCCATTTTTCAGAAAAATATATATTGTTCAATTTTCAAAATAAAAATAAAATTTCAAAGTATCATTATCACACATAATAAAAATAAAATATAAGAGAGTTGTAATTGGAAAACAAATATTCTATGGAGAATTTAAGCTCAAGAAGGTAGATAATGTGTTGCGATGTGATAGCAAATGCGATTGTCCGGGTTAAAAAAATTCAATATTCATTGTATTAGAGAGGTTCATAGTGGAATTTTAAAGATCATGGTGTTTATTATTGGTTGTTGTGAGGATATTGTACTCAAAAGTCATCATTTCGTGTGTGTGTGCATGACAAAAAAGTTCCATTTTGATGTGGTTGCTTTCCAGATTGGGTATAGTAAAAAGTTATAAATCAAATTTAAAGTTATATCATTTTTTGTCTTCTTTTTTTCTTTTTGAGGTAAAACCATTATTTGATATGAAATCTAAATTCAAAGCCTTCTTAATAATGCAAGCCAATAAGTTTCAAGCCTTTCAAAATCAGTGATAAAAGTCAGGCCATCCAAGATTGAACACCTAAACTAAAGTACTTAGCTTCAAAATTGAATATGTATCTAAGTTAAGTTGAAGATCGATTTTATTAAATCCAAGCCTTTGATTTCAAGATGTAAATTTAGCTTAAGTAAACCGTTCACTTTGAGAAAGAAATTAAAGGACTTATTTGGTAACATAATTAACTTATCAGTCAATTTTTGCTTATTTGATCACTATTAACTGTTTGACTTGGTTAAACAATTAATATAATCATTTGATCACTATAAATTGATTGACTTGGTTAAACAACAGTGTTTGCTCAATTAGCTTTTTGTAACAACTTATTGCTCCAAAACGCTAAAAATTCAAAAAGCTGCTCAAAGTAGTTTTTTTGATCAATTTTTTGAGAATGTCATTTTGCATGTAAACAGTTATCAGCCAATTTTCCAAACATCTTTCTACAATCAGCTAATGCTATCAACTAATCAAACACACTAATCCAATCAGCTAACAGCTATTTACCAAACATTCTGAAAGTCTTTTGAGTTGAAGATCAAATTCAAGCTACACCAATTCAAAATCAAGTTCAAGACATTGAGATTTCGATATTTAATTTGTGTCAAAGTGATGAGTGAAAATTTATAAAATTATTCAAAGAGTGTATATTATGTACACTTTAGTTTAGCTGTAGCAAAATTTTCAATGATTATATCCGATATGGTAAAATCTCCTTAATCCAAATCATGCCCAACTTAAGAGATCGAGATACTAGTCACCTAGACCAAGAGAGTTGGAGAAAACACAAAATAGTTACATATCTTACCACTCTAATCTAGCTACTAGGAATATCACACCACGAATTAACATAAATCCTTAAACTCGACTTGATCATACTTTAATTCTACTAAAAATTCATATAGTGCCGATACAATATATACTTAATTGTAGTATACTACATTGTATTCTTATCATTTTATACACATAACATTCAGGTAACGTAATTATTGATGTTAGCAAACTTAAAATTCCACTTACAGTAACTAATAAATTTGTCAAGATAGTGTGTTTTTTCAAAGTCTATGTTTTTTTTGATAAAAACAAAATGAATCTTATATAATTACATACTATACACCACTCTCAATTCAATTTCCAAAATCTCTAATACTCTTCAAAACTTATCATCATCGTACTGCACTCCAATTTATGCGACCCTTCGGAAACTTTCCCTTTCTTAATTCTTTTCGATTGTCGGCCAAGTTAGTTCACCTGTCAAATTAGGTTCTTTCATCATCGAAGGGAAGCAAGATTAATCACTATACTAACAAACTGAAGTTGGTAATCAGTAAGGGTCTAATTCCATGGTGTGTCGTATTCATCACATTAATTACGTATTGTATTGAAATGCAATACTTGTCGTTTTTTTAATTGTTCGATCAATTGTCATGTGGCCTGGGTTGTTATTTTAATTTTTTTCATGATAAATCAATTAATGGAGTTGAAAATTAGTGTTTCTTGATGGTGTTTTTGTATTTATTGATAGTTACAAGAAAAAGAAGATCAAAATTACAAAAATGTTCATACTGAAGGCATAATTTCCAATATCATATCCTTTCTGTTTTGTATGATGTAAGGAATCCAGTTGATAACTTGTGATACTGTAATTGAGAAGAGATAACTTTTAAACACATTGAAAGACAAAACATATTTCAACATGCATATCACATGGGTGACTAAAGGTACATATTTTTCATAATTACAATATCTTCTTTTTCAGAGAAATTGTAGTGGCATGAAGTGTGACTGACTCACCAATAAATCAAGAATCAAGCTATACTTATTAAACTATTATTTTTTTTTAGTACACTTAGCTTATTCAACT